CTAATTCAAAAACCTCTAGAGATCTGGGATATCGAGCTACCTTTATACTTTTTCATCAAGTTAAAAATAGAAGAATCATGTGAACCAAGATCAAGACGTTATACTTCCTTTTGTTTACTTTTCATAGCTCATCTCACGTCGGTATTATAAATCCCACACTTAAGTATGACGTATTTGGTATCAAATTCATTATGCAAACACCAGTTGGATTGTTTTCATGATCCAAGATCTTAAAATAGAAATGACCAATTTTTATGTCAATTTGAGGTACATGTATCTTTTAACGCACTGCAGAATTTCAAATATATGGGTCACTTAAAGTTTCAAAGAATTCAACATAGATATTGCAATTATCACAGCCAATACAGAGGACCCTATATTTGTGGAGAGATACTCATGAGTCATTACCTACTAGGTGAAGAGTAAGTAGATCTCAGTAGTCTAGTTGATCTAGTTCACTATAAGTTTATAACTATAGGATCTCTTTGTCGACTACGAGCTTCGTCAAAAATTTCAAATTGTATTCACACCGCCGATCTTCTGAGCATTCCCGAGAAATTTTAGTGGATCTTCAACGGCAAAGAAAAGAAAAGATATGAAATTATATCAAGATCACGAAGAATAACAATTAGACTAAGAGAAGTTACAAGTTATTACTTAGAAGTTATTGCTTATAGCCTTCCTTGGATAATCCTATGTGCATTCTTGTGATTTCAGAGCGGTTCTTGAATCCGTTTATGGTATATACTGTTCAAGACATGATCCTTTAACACAGCAATGACCTCTATCCTCAATCACCCATATTATTCTCCAGGTTTAAACTTCTAAACTTACCGATATATACGTCATGTTATACTATATATAGCTATTTATAAGTATATAGATCGGTTAAATTAGGCAAAAGCTTATAGTCTAAATAGGTCGAGCTATCATGACATATACACGCGTTACACATTCAAACCATCCAGCTGTTTGTATAATGGCTCATATATCTGAGCAATATTTTCAATATCGATATATCTTCTTACGATCGATGTATATATGAGGTTAATTGAGTGATGAGTATATTGAAGTATTTAGAAGGATCATGGGCAATGAGCCACATGGATATTAATATATTGATCATATAAAGATCGGTAATTAGATCTAAACGCTAGAGTAACTTAGGTAGTAGCCCTATATTAGATTCAATTAAATACAATCAACTAGCTATATAATATCCAAAATAGTACACTTATGAGATCTCAGATCCCGATTCTTATTCAGTTTTGTCTATGATCAATATAATTTACGATACAAGATACAAGTTAACATAAAATTTCACAAGAATTTAAGCTTAAAAGAAAATAATTAAAACTTATAAATTACGTCATTTTTGGAATTAATGGTCGGAATACATTTGAGCTGTCATGTGACTAGTACTGGTCGTATATCATATTCATAGATTATCTAATCAGTATTACAGCAATTACATAATCTACTCGTTTTTTTTTTCATGAATTGTTTTCTTTTGAAAGAGTATCAGCAATTTGTACTAGTATTGATTATGAGTCAAAATTGTTTTTATACTTTACTCTTTTTAGTTTTCTTTAAAACATATTAGTAAATATAGACAAATCATTTAAGATAAAACTTTAAAGATGTCTGCTCATTTAAGAGAACAATTTGCTAAGGCTAAAAGAGAAGGTATGTGGAAATTTTGAATAATGTATCAGATCTTAAATTCATTTTATACTAACAGATCTTTTTTGAAGAACGTAATGCTTTAATCACATTCATTACTGCTGGTCATCCAACCATTGAAGATACCGTCCCAATAATGAAAGGGTTACAAGAAGGTGGTGTTGATGTCATCGAATTGGGTGTTCCATTCTCAGATCCTATTGCTGATGGTCCAACTATTCAAGTTGCAAATACAACTGCTTTAGATAATGGTATAACCGTTCCAAAGACTTTAGAATTATTGAAATTAGCCAGAAAAGCTGGTGTCACTATCCCAGTCATTTTAATGGGTTACTACAACCCAATTTTACAATATGGGGAAGAACAATTGATTAAAGATGTTAAAGAAGCAGGTGGTAATGGGTTCATTGTCGTTGATTTACCACCAGAAGAAGCTGTTAAATTCAGAGGTTTCTGCTCTAAGGAAGGTTTAAGTTATATTCCATTAGTTGCTCCATCTACAACAGATGAAAGATTGCAACTTTTATCAGAAATTGCTGATTCATTCATATATGTCGTTTCAAGAATGGGTACAACAGGTGCTTTAACAAACATAAGTACTGGTATTTCAGAATTAGTCACTAGAGTTAGAAGATTCACAGGTGAAACCCCATTAGCCGTTGGTTTTGGTGTTAGTACAAGAGAACATTTCTTAAGTGTTGGTTCAGTTTCAGATGGTGTTGTTATTGGTAGTAAATTGATCACTTTAATTGGTGATTCATTAGAAGGTCAAAGAGGTGAAGTTGCTAAAAAATTCGTTCAAGGTATTTTAGATAACAAAACTTTCCCAGCAAATGATCAAGATAAAGAAAATTCAAAAGCTTTCCAAGAAGCTCAAAAAGTTGGTGAACCAGTTTTCGAAGAAGAACATAAATTTAACCCACGTTTTGGTGACTTTGGTGGTCAATACGTTCCAGAAGCTTTACACGCTTGTTTACGTGAATTAGAAAGAGCTTTTGAAAGTGCTGTTGAAGATCCAAAATTCTGGGAAGAATTCAAATCATTATATTCTTATATTGGTCGTCCATCAAGTTTCCATAAAGCTGAACGTTTAACTGAACATGCTGGTGGTGCTCAAATCTGGTTGAAAAGAGAAGATTTAAATCATACAGGTTCACACAAGATTAACAATGCTTTAGCACAAGTTTTGATTGCTAAAAGATTAGGTAAAAAGGAAATCATTGCAGAAACTGGTGCAGGTCAACATGGTGTTGCTACTGCTACTGCTTGTGCTAAATTTGGTTTAAAATGTAAAGTTTATATGGGTGCTGAAGATGTTCGTCGTCAAGCTTTAAATGTCTTTAGAATGAGAATTTTAGGTGCTGAAGTTGTTAGTGTCACAAATGGTACAAAAACTTTAAGAGATGCTACTTCAGAAGCTTTCAGAAACTGGGTTACAAACTTAAGTACTACACATTATGTTGTTGGTTCAGCTATTGGTCCACATCCATATCCAACTTTAGTTCGTACTTTCCAATCTGTTATTGGTAATGAAGCTAAAGAACAATTTAAAGAATTAAACAATGGTAAATTACCAGATGCTATTGTTGCCTGTGTTGGTGGTGGTTCAAATTCAACTGGTATTTTCTCACCATTTGAACATGATACAAGTGTTCAATTATTAGGTGTTGAAGCTGGAGGTGATGGTATTGATACTGATTATCATTCAGCCACTTTAACAGCAGGTGAACCAGGTGTTTTCCATGGTGTTAAAACTTATGTTTTACAAACAAATGATGGTCAAATCCATGATACTCATTCTGTTTCAGCTGGTTTAGATTATCCAGGTGTTGGTCCAGAATTAGCTGCTTGGAAGGCAAGTGGTCGTGCTAAATTCGTTGCTGCTACTGATGCTCAAGCTTTACATGGTTTTAAATTATTATCACAATTAGAAGGTATTATTCCAGCTTTAGAATCTTCACATGCAGTTTATGGTGCTGTTGAATTAGCTAAAACTATGAAACCAGATCAACATTTAATAATAAATGTTTCAGGTAGAGGTGATAAAGATGTTCAAAGTGTTGCTGAAGTTTTACCAAAATTAGGTCCAAAAATTGATTGGGATTTAAGATTTGAAACTTTTGAAAGCTAATTTGAATTTTGAAAGTGTACACTAAATGAATCAAAAATTAACTTGTATATGTTTTAAGTTTTAATAGATTATAATATAATTTATATCAGATGATGATCGAAAATCTTCTACTAGACTGACATTTTTTCAATATTGTAGGTGTTGATCTACCGTCCTTTAATTGTTTATTATTATAAAATATATAACATAATTCTCGTTTACTTTTCTATGAAAATACAATGAATAATTATTATAAAATGAATGCACTAAATTTATCACTTTTTGAACTGAAATATAAACTATATTTTTTAAAAAACACTTTTAAAATTACTAAATTGATTGAAAAATTAACTAATAGAAATGTGTATAACATTGAGATTCTTCATGAACTTCCATTTCACTCTTTAATTCATTTAATTCTTCTTTAATTCTTTGTGCAATTTGTGGTGTTAATTGATTACAAGTTGCAACATCAGGATGTCTATCATAATCATCTTCATTCCAAGCATCATAAAGAACAATTTTAGAACTGAAAACAACTCTTCTATTTGGATTTTTAATACTTGAAGCTTTTGAAGATGAAATTTGTGAAACAAAAGATGAAGAAGAACTTAAAACAGGTCTATTATAATGATGATTTGATAATGCAGGTGCTTTAAGACCTTTAAATGACATTGACATTGGTCTTGAAGCTTGTTCTTGAATAAAGGTTGGTAATGGTTGTAATGCAGGTGATACACGATCATATGAAGTTGAACTTGATAAATTTCGGAAAGGTTCAGATTGTAAAATTGGAGATTCTAATAATGGAGATTCTGGTGCAGGTTGAGGTGGTGAATTGAAAGGTCTTGTTGATAATGGAGGTTGTAATCTTGGTGATGGTTTATTATTATATTGGAAATTTGAAGAATTTGTTGAAGAACCACCAATTGAATTAGCAACTGAAGGAGGTCTTAAAGTTTTCATATTTGGTGAAGATCTTGAAGATTGATCATCAAGATCAAAATTTAATTGTAATTCATCACCAAAATCTATAAAATCTGCAAATTCCATAAAATTTGAAACATCTTCACCTTCATTTTGACTAGTTGTTTCATGTGCTAATATTTGAGCTTGATGTTCTTCAGCATTATAATTATCTGCAATATCATCAAATTCTAAAGCTGTTGAAAAATCTTCACCAAAATCATATTGGAAATCATCATCATTATTATCATGTTCATCATTATTTCTATTATTATTTTCATTAACATAATCATCATCAATTTTATTAAAACTTGACATTGAACTTTCTTTTTTCAAAACACTAGTTGTTGGTGATTTAGTCAAATCAGGAATTGATGGTTCTTTATCCATAGCATAAGTAACATACATTCCTTCTTCTTTAGCATTTGAATTAATAGCATCAGTTAATGAAAAAGGTCTTTGTTGAGACATTGTAGAATGACGAGATCTAACAGATCTATTTCTTTCTAATGAAACAATAGATTCAACTTCTTGAGGATTTAAAGATTTTGGGAAAACATCACCACCAGTTTGAGAGATTTGTGAAGTTGGTCTTTGTTTTGAAACATTTAATTTATTAAAATCTTCATTAAATTCATTTGAATCCACTGTTGATACTGAAAAACTATCATCATTATCATTTACTTCATCATTATCAATTTGTTTGAAATTTGAATTGACAGTTATATTTGGAATATCATTTGAAGATTTTGAAATTGGAGTTCTATTAGATGTTTGTTGTTGTTGTTGTTGTTGTTGTTTATTTTTTCTTTTAAAAGCATCAAATAATGATGTTGAAGATGTAGATTTTTTAGGTAATCTATGTGAAGACATTGAACTTGGAATATTTGGAGTTGATTGTTGAGATCTTGGTAATGATTTTTGTTGTGATTGTTGTAATGGTTGAGGTTTTGAAGATAATGGTGAAGATTTTGGTTGTAATTTTGTTGATTGTTTAGTTTCAACTTGACTTGATGATACTGATCTTTTATTTGATTTGAAAAAAGCCATAAATTTATTCTTCTTCTTTGTTGGTTGTTGAACTTGTTCAATTGGTTTAATATCATCATTTTTCTTAGTCAAGACTGGTAATGAACTTGATCTTTGTTTATATTGTGGTGATGTAAATAATTGATTCAATCTATTTTTTGGTAATGATACAGGTGGAGGAGTTTGAATATGTTGATGTTGAGGTTGAGATTGTTGTTTTGGAGTAAATGAAGAATTTTGACCTTCGAAACTTGAAGTTTTATAAATTTGTGGAGTATTAATAATTTCTGGAACTTCAGAATGATCATCAATCATTGAAACAAAATTTTCATTAATTTTTATCTTTTCAGGTGAATTACCTGATGATTCTTCATTATCCTTTTTGGAAGAAATTTGACTTAAACTTGAAGAATTATGGAAAGTATGTAATTGTGGAACTTCTGGAGTTTTAAAAATATCATAATTTTCACTTGTTTCAATTTTTTGATAAAATTGTGGTGAAACTAAATCACCAGTATTTGGTGAATCCATTATAGAACTATAAGAAGATTCTCTTGGTATGTTTAAATTTGGAGTTTGATCTTGATCATCTAATTGAATTAAATTTGGAGATTTAGTTAAATCATAATTTGTTTGTTTTGGAGTTGTTTCATAATCAGAGGGCATATCTTCTGCAATTGTGGAAGTTTGTAAATTTGAAGTTGGTTTCCTAGAACTTTGTTGTTGATGAGTTTTTTTTTCTAATATACTTGCTAAAGCACTAAAAGAAGGTGAATTTGTCATTGCCAGTTTTGTCACTTCTTGCTCTTGTGTGTTTAAAGGTAATGTAGCTATATTATTATCATTATCAATAAAGATTGAATCTCTAACAGATTGAAATTTAGTTGAATCAAAAGATTCTGAATAAATCATTGATTTCCTTAGGTTTTGAGCATGTTGATTATGATCATGAGTTATATTATCACTTGAATAGAACTCAGTACCCATGAGATCTGGAGAACTTTGCCCACTGCTATGCTCATCAGCTTCAGAGATTGAAGGTTGTTGTAAATGATTATATTGTTGTTGCTGTTGTTGTATTTTATGATTATAAGGTGATGAATTTGTTGAAGTATGAGCAGATGAACCACTTTGATTAAAATTTGACGAGTCCATTTCAGAATTCATGGTGGACATTGATGAGACTGAGCGTAGCTGGCTCCCTTCATGAATGTATTGCTGTTGGTATTGGTGGAAATGTTGATGTTGAGATGGAATTTGATACATAGTTGAAGGCTGAAGCACTTTTCACTTTTGACGTTGTTAATTTTCACCAATTTTCACAGCCAAAGTGAGCGATTGATTGAAATCTAATTTAAAAGACAACAGAAAAGACACTAAATCAGTCTCTGTGATACTTCTATTTGGTTCAAACAACTTTTATCAAAACAATTAAAATGTTAACTAGTTTTATTTGAAATACTAAAAAAGTTTTAGTACGTATAAATTCTTTAGTTAAATTTATGTAATCCAATACTTTCCTGAAGGAGTAAGCAAATTTTAATCAAAACGCGACGCGAAATTTAAATTTTATTCACCAAAGGAGTTATATTGGCTGGAAATTAATTAATTAACTACTTGGATTTACCACGAATTCAAGTTTCAACATGAAACTAGGCGCAGGCACTTCAGTTATCTTGTTGCAGAAATTACCACGGATTACTTGTTTGTTAGATATCTTGTTTGGTGGTTGTGCTTGTGATTCTAGACTACCCTACAAATATTTAATACCCAGTCCTTTTATTCACATTATAACACATTTTTCTTCTTCAGATCCAGCTGAAGTTGAAGTTGTACCTGTTGTAGCACTATTTATACTTGTTGCTCCACTATTCACTCTATTTTTCATGGTTTTTTTCCCAAGATGTCTAGCACCTATACTATAAGTTTTACTTGATGGATCTAATTTAGATATTGGTTTTGGTGATGAATTACCATTTTGAAATCCTGCATTTAAATTTGGATTTGAAGGTTGTCTTAATCTTTGATTTTGTGTGATTGTTGGTTGTGTATCTATACTTTTTGCATCTGAATTATAATCTGTTGAATGGGTTTGTGAAAAATTTGGTTTTTCAAAACTTGAATTACTTATACTTCTTGATAATGTAACTGTTTCCCAATCTTGATTAATTTTTTCAATTTTTAAAACTGGATCAATACCAAATTGTAAAATTGAATTTGCTAAATATGTATATAATCTTGACCAACATCTTTCTAATTCCAGAGTGAAATTATAACCAAATCTATCTTGGAAAGTTTTCAATAATGCAATACCCATTAATTCAAAATGTGGTGGATCAATCCCCAAGATTCTTGAATGTCTTTTACCTAAATTTTGTAAATAATCATCTAATGCTTTTAAATTATCTAAATTATGAATTGCAGTTGATAAAACACCAGCAAATGAAACTGCCTGGTGTTTAATACTTGGGAACATTCTTTCTAAATTTGAATCCATACTTAATAAATTTGAATAAAATTGTATACAAAATAATGATGAAGCAATTGATGAATGATTTATTGAAGTAGTTTGTGCATTTGATTCTGAAGTATTATAATTCTTATTTATATCATCATTAATCATTTCTAACCAAGTTGATCTAATTAATTTAATTTCATGTTGATTAAAATTTAAAACTAATTTAACATCATATTCTGGTTCAATATATAAGTTTGATGAAATGGTTAAACCTGAACTTGTTGTAGTTCTTGATAAATGATCATCAAATGATGCCCTATCACTTGCATTTATAGGTTGATGAGATGCTAATGTTGAACCAGTTAAATGTGAATTTGATGGTGAAGGATTTTGTTGTTTGGAAAAAGTTGAAGTTGCCATTGATTTCCTTTTTTCAAAACTGGATGTTGGTAATGCATGTGCTATTTGTGATTTAATCATTATGGAATGTTGAAATTATCACTGTCTAGTGTGTGTTCTGGTGTCGTTTGATAAATGTTTTCAACCTATTTCAATTGATGAGTATAAAAGGGAATGGGAAAAGTTATATATCAAAAACTATTACAAACCAAGATTTACAAGCTTAAAATGAATCCATTGGAGAATGTTTGACCGATTGTTACTCAAAGCTCAACAACTTTTTTCAAACTGATCTTCTTGGGATGTACGTTTTATGTATGTACCGCGAGTTGGAAGTGATGTATCTCATACTTTCAAGTGCTTTTAATTACATGGCTATTTAAATGAAAAGGAGGGTTTTATTCAGAAATGAACATATAAACCATGACATAAACCCGTATTAAACTGGAATATTATCGACCTAAACAGACTACAAACTGTTATTAATAGTACCATAATCATGCCATATCTTAGGCCTACTAGTCTATGACTCTATGATTCAAATTGTTCAATCTTTTCAATTTGAAGATCATCGCCGATGGACGCATCCACACAAATAATTAGAGCTCGTGCTTATACTGTCTGGTGGGTATCTACTATCTATCACCAGTGAACCAACTGCTCAGCGGCTGTCCTCAAACTGATATGATCCGTCATAATCATACGGTTTGTAAGACAACTACGACTTCCTTTAAACCAACTTGTTCTTGATGTTAATTAGTATTCTCAGTCTTTCCATTGGACAAATCTATATTTAAGTACCAAATGCACAATTGTTTGTTCAATGCTGATCCCTGAAAAGAAACAGATTCGAAATAAATTGAATACGTGAAGTTCACCAGAAATGGAAGTGTTCATGATCTGGAATCTGTGTTTAATTAACGCGTTGTATAACGTATAGAGTCATGGCTTATCTTGTGGTGTTCTAATTAATTAATATTTAGTTATCTCAGATAATTATTGTTCACGTTCCAATCCATAATTGGTTCCTTGCCTCATCGCACAAGCATAAACAGACTATGCGTTGGGAGGAGGGAGCCTTAGAAGTTAGAAGCTAGGAGTCCTTCAGCTTCACAGAGTTATTTGAGGCCACCAGTCATATAGAAGGTGTACGTATGGAGTTTGAATAGTTCTTCCAAAAGGTTGATAGTATATTCCTCGTAATGATATTCCAATGCCATGAGATTTAATTTAATCTTCCGAAGTCCCATCGATATACAAGTACAGCGATGCAATTTAACCCTGCTTTCACTGTCTAAAAGCTCGATGGCTTAAATCTAGATGCTACATAAGTGTGCTACGTAGTACGAACTTGTACTAACAAATTATTCCAACTATCATTGCACTTAAACCCATGTTAGATAGATTAATTCAACCACCTCTATACAAGATAAGCCAATCAGGAAAACTGCATCGTCTAATGTACAACCTAGGCCTTCAAGATCACAAAAGATCATCAACGGTTAAAGTGTCCTTCGTCCTTCTGTTCAGTTTTCAAATCCCTTTGAAAAGCTGTTATGCAACTGCTAAAAAGTTTTTTCATCAGCCCATTTTTGCCTGTTGATTTAAACATTGTTCGGGAATTTCGAACTAAACTCCAAGGCGAGTAGACCGTTGAGTTCTGTGGAGTACTTGGAAAGTTGGTGTATATCCATTCCAGCTTAGTTATGGTCAATAGTATAAGTTATCATTCCAAAGAGCTTCCTTTATTGTCAAATTGAAATCTGGTACAACTTTTGGTCATTGTGAATCTACTTTCTAGTTATATATTTGTTCATGTATTCAATACTTAAAAACAAACTGTCAAAATGTTACTATACTTAAATCATTGTGAGAATCTAACTCTTGGTTTATAAGGTTCTTCCAAATATTTCACTTCTTCTTCATCCAATTTGAGATTAGCACCAACAATTAAATCATCAACTCTTTTTTCAGAATTCAATCCAACAATTGGTTGAGCACCTTTATGAATAACCCAAGCAGTTGCAATAGCTGCTCTTGAAACATTCTTCTTAGAAGCCAATTCTCCAATTCTTTGAACAATTGAAACTTCAGCAGCTTTTTCTGGATCATCACTTTTTAAAACATAATCAGCAATATGCTTAAATGTTGGAGCTTGTTGTCTTTTTGTTAAACTAGAATCATTAGATCCAGAATCAACATCTCTTGCTAAAACACCACCAGCTAATGGAGACCATGGAATAATACCAACACCTGTTTTTTTAGCATAATAATTCAATTCATGTTCATCTTCTCTATTAATCAAATTATAATAACTTTGAACTGAAATGAATTTATGCCATCCATTTTTTTCAGCAATATGTTGATATTCAACAAAATCAACAGCACGAGAAGTTGAAGCACCAATATATCTTGTCAGACCTTTTTCAACAACATCATTCAAAGCTTTCATAGTTTCTTCTTGTGGAGTATCTGGATCATATCTATGAATTTGATAAACATCAATATATGTACCTAATCTTCTAACAGAATTTTCAGCTGCATCTAAAATATGTCTTCTTGATAAACCTTTATTATTTGCAAAATCAATACCTTGTTCTTCAGTTTTAAAATCTCTAAGTGCCATGAAATCATAACCAACACTTTCATCAACTGGAGCCCAAACTTTTGTTAAAATAACAACTTTATCTCTCTTAATATTATATTTCTTCAAGAATTTACCCAAGATGATTTCTGATAATCCATTTGAATATAAATCTGCAGTATCATAAGTTCTAATACCATGATCATAAGCTTTTTTCAAAATTTTAAAAATCTTTTCTTCATCATCTTCAACCCATTCCATCCAACCTTTTGAACCAAATGACATTGCTCCAATTATAACATTGGAAATTTTTAAACCTGATTTACCAAGGTTGACCCAAGGAACAAATTGTTCTTGATCTGACATTTTTGATTGTATGATATATAAGTTATATTAACTTTATTCAATTGAATAGCATACAATCATCTTACATGAATATATAAACAAGATATTTTGCAAGACTTATATATAACTTCAATGAAGTCTCTTTAGACAAGGCTTAATTCTGATATATCCCTTAATTCCAGAGGTGATTATTAACGTCTATAACGGATCGGACCAGTTATAATAATAATAAAAGGGAATTTGCGGTATATGGTATCGGTATAAATGATTAGATCCATGACATTACTTAGTTCCTGGTATTAGTCTTCTTATCACCCTTAAATCCTGTGAATCCGTTCTTTGTCGATATGAGCTAGTTATATTAGTTTTCCAATTGCTAATTCCAAATGTTGAATGATTTATAATTTAGTGCAACATGCATACAAACAAACTATATTATTAATATTCAACTCCTGAAAACAATTGATGATAATATACTCAGCTTCTTGATGACTTATATAAAACAATCTTTTTGCTTGATGATCACTAGCTCATCACTTTATAAATTGTGGTTATATTAATGGAATCAGTTTGAAATTATAAGCTACATTCTAGGACGTGTATAACAGCATCTAAACATAGTATTGATTTATAAAAACACTTGAAATATCATAAATAAAATGTAATCATATTGAAGGTACGATAAACCAGACCGTACTAATGATCACAAGGCTAACAGAAGTTCACTTTTTCAAGAATGGTTTTTCAGCTCTTGGACCTAATCTATACAAGTGACGACGTTCAGTTGTTTCCCAATCATATAGAGCAGAATGAGAAGCTCTTCTATTATCCCAAACAACAACAGTACCTTTTTCCCATTTGGCTCTGATTTGTAAATCAATTGAAGTTGATAAAAAGTTATACAAGAATCCTAAGATTGCATCTGATTCCTCAACTTTTAATTCTTGAATATCTCTTGTAAATTGTTGATTGACATAGATGGCTTTTTTACCAGTGACTGGATGGGTTCTAACAACTGGATGAATATTCTTAACAGGATCTCTTCTTGTAATACCACCACTTCTTAATGATGCTTCTGCTTGTTCAAACCCTGAATGTTCAGCTGTTAATCTCTCAATGATTTGTTGGAATTCTGGTGATAATCTATCATAAGCAGCTTGTGTATCAACAAAAGCAGTATCACCACCAGAAGTTGGACCATCTAATAAACCAAGGAAAGTGGTACCTAATGGTTGTTTTTCATAACTAACATCTGAATGCCATGCAACTGAAGTGGTATGTCTTTTAAGAAAAGATTCAGTAGCACTTGCATCTTTTGAACGATAAACTAAATGAAGTTCAGGATACCCTTTTGGTGCACCACTTGCTGGATGAATATGTAAAGGACCAAAGTATTCAGCAAATTTCACATTAAATTCAACACCTTTAGAAGCTAAGTCTTGATCTCTGAAAACTAAAACACCTCTTTCAGCAGTTAAAAGTGCCAATTCATCTTTGGCAGCATCAGATAATTCAGATAATTGAACACCTTTGATTTCTGTACCAAATTTTGGTGTCAAATCTGAAGTTTGTAAATCTTTGTTGTCTTTTGAAAGTAAATTTTTGTAAGATTTATCAGCAAAAAGACCACGATCTTTAATTTCAAATAATTCATAAGGTTCAAATTTAGTCTTTGTATCCCAAGTTGGTTCATATTCTGGATAAGAAAGATCACCTCTTTCAATATTTTTTAAAACTAATAAACCATCTTCACCTTCAACTCTTGCGGAATAAAACGGTGATTTGTATTTACCAACATTATCAGTATCATATTTACTTTTCACCTGTTTCTCAGGTTTTTGTTCTTGGTTATTTGATACTTCTAACTTTTTGATGTCCTGGGTTATTTGGACAGTACTTGTAGCTGTTGGTGGTGCCATTTTAATTGATATTATCTATAGGGATAATTTAACTATTTTGGATCAAAAGTTGGATCATCATGAGCATAATCTTCTTTATTTATAAGTTTCGATTCATCATCATCCGATTTCCTTGCTTCCACAACTGTGTACACAATTGTTTGATTCTGATTATGAATCAATATGATCCTTAAGCCACAACCAAAAATATGTGGACCTGGAGTGCTTGTTAAGTATCTACGAAGAAAAACTCCGATAACATGCGCGCATAGCTTTAAGCTGTCAAAATATATCACATTTCAATTTTGAGATCGTCCTTGTCTTATGATTTGAAAATATAAGAGTTCATACAATATAAAGATGGTTCTTTATGTACACTGTTCATTAGCAACTTAAATGTATATCACGCTACAAATACTTGATCCAAATTTCGCAATAAGAGTTCACCATTTCGTTCATAAAAGGTTAACCGAAATAGTTATATTGGCGACTTTTGGAGCTTCTAATTCTTGAATAATATAATCCACCAGCCTACAATAACAAGCCACACTTCAATCTTAAAAGTAACTCATGTATATTGATTACCAATTTTAGAAGCCTTGAGATACTTCATTAGGTGTGATGTAAACCCAACAACTACCACAAAGACATGTTCTATGAAATGCAACGGGCCAATGATTCAAGTTAGCATTGGAACTGGCTCCTTTGATTGAGCTTGAAAAATATCCTTCAGTATCATTTGAAGTAATATATTCACATCTTAAACATTTTTTCAATTTTTCCTTGTTTGTTATGACAACTTTTGTAACATCATCGATTAAAGTTTCATTGGTACCAAAAAGAATTGGTACTTTGTCCTCTGGGCCTTTAAAAATTTTACTTGGATTTTTGTTTGTTCTGATTTGTAAGTTCAACCATCTTGTATCATGGAAATATAATTCCGATAAATTTGGTGAATCTTGTAATAATTCTTGAAATTTGTTTAGCATCGCATCAATTGAAACTTGATAACCTGATGGAATCTTGTTTTGGAACACCAAGGTTTGTTCTATACTTAATGCTGATGATTTATCCAATTGCCTATGAAATAAGTTTTCAGTGTCTGAAAGAAATTTTTCAAATTTATCCAAGTCAATCAATGTCAACAAATGTTTATATCTTTCAATACTTTTATTTAAAACTTCCATATTCAAAGATCCTGGATTACTTGTATTGTTCAAATCTTGTACTTTCACCAAAAATCCATCAATTCTTTTGATACCAGCAATAGAATAAACCATTAGTGATCTTGGAATCTTGGACAAAAGTAACGAGAGCATAATGGTGTTAAAATGGCTTTTATCTTGCAAGTCATCACTATGAACAACATTTATCAACTCTTGAACAGTGAAAATCAAAAATTCCATAAACCAATTAATGGTACCTAAAGTACTTAAAACACTTTCACTTCTATATATAGAGTCCATTAAACTTTCATTCCCCTTTTTAGTAACTCTTTGTTGATGATGAAATAAAGTTCTCAAACTTAACATTAAACTGAAAGCAACAAGTCTTAAATTCAGGATCGATAATGCTATTAATGTGGTTTCATTAGTAGATGTTAATTTACCCAATGAATATTGTAAAGATAGAAGCTTTTGAATAGGAGGGTTAACAAGTAATCTATCAATTTGATCTTTTGAATGATCTAACGAGAAGTTTAAAGCTCTATGACTTTCTTCTAATATGGCTAATATAAGTTGATTTTTCAATTGTGTATCTTTAATTTTGAAAATTTCACTTTGAATAGCAATTATCAAATCATCTGAAGATAGATTTGTGAAACATGCTGATGAATATTTATAACCAAAAGCTGCAGATAGCGTCAGTACTTCACCTTTAACCAAGTTTGAGGTTGGTCTTGAGGTTGTATGATATTTTAATAAACGATCATGTGGATTGTAAACAACATAACCACATATATTTGGTGATATTGAAACAGCATCTGGTTTGAATCCTGGTAAAGGAAATTCATATCCTGCATCAAGTAGAGTTGAGATAGATTGTGGTATTGGTTCATTATTCTTGTTTCCCAGAAGATTTAATGATTTTCTATTTCTTAATTGAATTTCACCATTTGCCAATGTAATTGCTATTATAAATTCAAAATTTTTGAAAGATATATCTAAAACCTCTTGTTGTAGTAAAATATCACCAGTTGAAGCTAAATTTGTATAATTTTCAACCGTTATAGCACTATCATTATTAAAACCATCGTTCTTGAATCTTAAGTTTTTAAACTCATTTGATAATTGAAGTTTTTTCAATAAAGTCTTACCACCAACAACACCAGGTCCGTTAAATGTTAACAAAATCTCAAGTTCTGTATCTAATGAGAAATTAGGTGATATTATATCAATTCCATTCAATTCTTGCGGAAAGCCATTATCTCCTATTATATTCAATGGCTCAGATACCAATTTCACAACTGATAATTTTGGAGACAATTTAGTAGTTGAGCTAACAGTACCCCAATCTATTTTAACTTGATATACCCTTAAAGCTTTTACAAGGGGACTATAAGTAGCAACAATCAATGAACCATCTCTATTAAACCCAATATCTGCATGTTTCAACCAAAGTGAATTAATATTATCAACATCTTCTAATAATACACTTGTTTTTTGAAAATCTGATCCTTGAACTGTTGCCTGATAATAAAAATCAACTTCACCATTTCTTCGTACTGCAAAGAACCCAGATTTACCTTGAATTGGATGTAATATACCATATGATTTATATTGATGAACGGCATAGCTATATGCATAACCTGAAGAATCTGAAGAAGCAGCAGCACCATCTGCAGCGGCTCCTGAGGAGACCATTGACTCTTGTGTAGTATGAACTCTAACAGCAGGTGAATTTGAAATGATTGGTTTATCAACATTCAACCATTTAAATGATATAACTTTTGTGGTTGAATCACCACCATTTTGAGATGAATTTAATAATTTTGGTTGTTTAGTGTTTAAAGGTCTTTCACAAACATCATCTTGATAAATGATATCAACATCTTCAAAACATGATAATTGATGAGAAGAATTTGTTTTCAAAACACCTGTAGAAAGAATTGTAAGGTTTCCAAGATCATCAATGATGGCAAGGTCCATACCTGAAGTTGACCAATAAACATTTGTAATTGGATTTAATGATGATAATGGATTTGTTTTAATTTGATATATCTTTTTAGGTGACAATCTCCATGAAGAACCTTTAATTGATTCCAATTTAGTTATTGATAAGTTACTAGTTGGTGTTAAATCAGAATATGCAATGAACCCATTTTTAGACCAACTTATCTTACTAAATAGAACAAACGTGTTAGTAAGTCTTGTTCAAACTTGAAGCTCGAGGAATTGTTTACTCACTGGCTTGACCTTGTACAATTGATATCTGATCCTATAGACATCTTGGATCCTTGGCTCTAAAAGTATATCTTGTTTTTTTGCGTCAAGGTTTCTTATTCAATTTCTTATGGGAAGTAAATATTGAAAAGTTCAAAACACTAACTTTCCCAAATTTCGAGGGTAATTCACGTGAAAATGACTATTCCGACTACGGTATAAGCAAATATTTCAATAAATATACAAGAGTACTTTTAATTTTCTATCTAAACACATAAACAATCGTCAAATTATAATCTTATCAAAAGCATTCCCAAGAACTATAACATCATATATAAAAAATTTAGTGAAATCAATTCACTTTAATTTAATAGACATCACCATGGTCAAACATAGCATCAGCAACTTTAACGAAACCAGCTAAGTTAGCACCTTTAACTAATGATGGTAATGATTCTTTGTTGGTTTCATTAGAGTATTCAGTGGCGAATTTAATAGATTGGTTGAATAATTCAATCATTCTCTTTTTCAATTCATCATCAACTTGTTCAGTAGTCCATGTTAATCTTTGAGAGTTTTGAGCCATTTCTAAAGCAGAAACTAAGACACCACCAGCGTTTGAAGCTTTACCTGGACCGTACCAGACAGCTGGAGATGAAGCAGATTTAGTGGCAACACGTTCACCTTCGAAAACATCAATAGCTTCTTGAGTAGAACCCATATTAGAACCTTCAGCAACGTATTTGACACCAGCAGCAACTAAAGCTTTAGCTTCTTCACCAGAGATTTCGTTTTGAGTAGCAGATGGTAAAGCAACATCAACTTGACCAACGTGGATCCATGGTCTAGCACCATCAATGTATTTAACTGGAGATGAGCTGAAAGCAGAGTATTCGTTAATGATATCTTTTAATGATTTGAATTTGATTTTAGCTTCTTGGATAGAGAAGATGTGTTCTTTGGTAATACCAGTTTCAGAAATGATAGCACCTTTAGAATCTGATAATGAAACAACGGTACCACCTAATTCAATAACTTTTAAAGCAGCGTATTGAGCAACGTTACCTGAACCTGAAATGGCAACTCTTTTACCAGTGAAATCTTCTTTACCTTTAGTAGCATATTTAATTTGTTGTTCAGTGTAGTAAACTAAACCGTAACCGGTAGCTTCTGGTCTGATTAAAGAACCACCCCAAGTTAAACCTTTACCAGTTAAGACACCTTCCCAACTTTTAGTGTAAGATTTGTAGGCACCGAATAAGAAACCAACTTCTCTAGCACCAGTACCAATATCACCAGCTGGAACATCACGGTTTTCACCTAAGAAACCACCAACGGCTAATTCTTTCATGAAAGCATAACAGAATCTTCTAATTTCATTGTCTGATTTACCTTTTGGATCGAAATCAGAACCACCTTTACCACCACCAATGTTTAAACCAGTTAAAGCATTTTTGAAAATTTGTTCAAAACCTAAAAATTTCAAGATTGATAAGTTCACAGATGGATGTAAACGTAAACCACCTTTGTATGGACCTAAAGCAGAGTTGAATTGAACTCTGAAACCATTGTTGATTTGGATTTCACCTTTATCGTTTTCCCAAGCAACTCTGAATTGAACAATTCTTTCTGGAACTGAAACAACATCAATAACTTTTTGATATTTTGGATGTTTTTGGAATAAAGTTGAGTCTTTTAAAGTAGAGACTAATTCGTTGTAAGCTTGTTCGAATTCTGGTTCAGATGGTTTAACCATTGTGGATGTATTTGATGTATATGTTAAGTATCTAAAAGATGCCTTGAAGATAAGAAAGGAAAAATCATTTTATTTCAAATTACAATTATAATCGAAATCTTTTGATATATTTATATTCTGTTGAAGCTCTCATGAAAAAACGCACTGTTTTTCCTTTTTCCATAGAAAGCTCGGTTTTAGCATTGGCATCTTTTGGATTTTATTGGCCAGAGATTGGGAAACTCATCGCCGGTAGAGGGCTTGTAGGGCCACTAGGTATGAGATCATAAACCATAATCATTGAATCACCTAGTTTTGATGGAGACTTTGGGTGCTTTATTGTTCAAGAGGTATGAGCTCAAGTTGGTTCTGATGTTGTGGAGTTTTGAATTTGGAAAAGACTGGATTTCGTTTCTCAATAGATGTTTTGTTACGATGCATTGAAGTTCTTATCAAGATTATCAAGTATATATTTGCCCGAAATCTCAGAACTTGTCATGGTTGATTCAATATTTTTGAAACCATGGTCCATAATTAAATTAATGCATAGATTATTATGGAAGAATAAACAATTATTTACTATTGTTTGATCTCTCTTTGCTTACGTGTACAACTTTCAGGCGTGGAGAATAACTTATATCTGCTAATAATTAGTGGGTATAATTTACGATTACGCGCTTTCATTGGTGGTACTCGCTCCGATAAGCATCTAAAATAGCATGACGAACCCCTATGATATGGTAAATAAACCATGGGGGTCAACGACCAGTATTAAAACCTTTTAATACCCCTGAACACTTTAACCATTCGTAGTCCATGAGGTTTAAACGGACTCAGGTTATTTCAATCAAGCTGATCAATTGGAATTTGAGAGTTTTGTTCTTTTTCAGAGTCAAAGAATTTCTTTTAACAAAACCGAAATCTTGCAGCCGGATTTAATTAAAGCGAGTTCCTTATCAAGAACAAATCATATCGGAGATATTCTGGTACGCGCAGCAAATCAGAGTGTTTTTTCATTTCTTTTACATCTTCGCGAATGGATTTGTACCCAAAGCATATAAGCATACAGCATACAAAACAACAGTTGAAGAGGCTTTAACCCGGGTTAGGTAGTAAATAGACTCAAGTTTATATTGGTATCTGTAATACTCAATACTTTCCCACTGCTCAAGTGCTTATCCATAAAGTAAGTTCCTTATCTACAAGCATAACTTAATAATGTACCCCAAATTCCAATCTTTTATTGTTAGCTTTTTATCTAATACATACAGTATGATTCAAGACCTCATTTTATGTACACAATACACAAATACCTAACGACGATCTTCTTCTAAATCATCCAGTTCAAAACTTGCTAAATCATCATTTTGTTGTTGTTCACGATCCGTTCCTGAAACTGATGCATATCTTGTTAAATCAATCTTATAACTAGCTGTTAATGTTTGATATAATTCCAACAATAATAAAAACCATAAATAAATCAAAAATGCAGCTGATGTTACAACCATGATATATGAACTATGATCAGCTTCTAATCTTAAAACTAATCTTAATTGTTCTTCATTAGCAGCCATAAACATAACACCTGATTCAATAAGACAAAATGATGGTAAATATTGAAATGACATGATTTTACCAGGAATAGATCTTTCATCATTTAATAAAAATGTAATTTCCAAAATTCTAATAAAACCACCAAGCATTAATGATAATCCAAACATATAATGAACTTTAGTGCTTATAGCTAAATGTTGATTATGTTCAGACATTGCCCAACCAGTATAAATTAATAATAAAGATGGAATCCAAGTTCTTCTACCACCTCTCCCTAAATACAAACCTAATAATCCACCAGACCACCAAATAATACCCATAGCTGTATGTTGATAATCACCATGACCCCAACCTTCACGACCCCAACGATGTTCTGTAAAAGTATTAACAATTCCCCAAACTGTCATAACTAATGAATCATAGAAATCTTGTGAATTTTTATGTCTTGTTTCTCTAAAATATGGTAATACAAGAATTAAAGCATAAAATAATCCATAACCAATAAATGCAGTCCCCATAATACCATGTGCAATACATTGACCTGTATGAATTTCACGACAAAATCCAAACATTGCCACAGGTGCTAAACATGTCTTGATCCAACCTGTTAAAGTTAACAAGACACTTAAAGTTCTATGAATTATTCTAATTGAACGTTCACCTAAATTAGCTATCCAATGAACTTCTCCCCCATTCTTGTTCTTTAAAAACCAATTTGTTCCAGAATTTAAAGATCCAACGAATACAGTAGCACCATTTAAAAATAATAAAAACCAAGCAGTCCCTCTACTTGTTCTATTTTCAACACCATCACCATCTGGAAATCTTAAAAACAAAGCCTCTAAAGCAGCATACCCCAAAGAAACTAATTGAAGGAAAACTGAAGTATGTAATTTTTCTGCAAATGTTAAAACAGTAGCTAAAGAAGGTACAATCAGTAATAATAATAAAGTCATCAACCAATGGAACGTTTTGGATCCTGCATTTGTTATATTTGGTCTTGTGAATTCTTCTGTATCATCCATCTCCATTTCCGCGTTAACCATACATATTAATAAAGTTATGGGTATCAGCAATTGATGTAATTTTGAAGTATGTGACATTATGGAGGTTTCTATTATTCTATTTTATTTAAAGTACTTTTGTCAGCGAGTCCTCTCCTGAATAATGGAGTAATAACGTATCTTTGAACTGAAAATTAAGGAAAACAATAAACAATTTACCCAGGTGTTTTGATATTTAGGAGTTTTTTTGGCGTACCGTGATTTTTAGCAACGGCACCCAGCAGTTCGCGGTAACCGGTTACATACAGTAAAGAAATTAGAATCCCGATAGATATAATGATCTTAAACATATCTATGTCTTGTATTAAACAGTGATATCTATCGCTTCTTTACGTATAAAGAGTACATCGAAGTACAATTCTTTTTCTATAAAATGCATAAAATAACATATAATATAATCTATACAAAACAAAATCACTAAAACTTTTCATATAATATTTGTTAATAACATATTGATGAACCTAAACTCTTGATTCATCATCAACATCTTTTTTATTTTTATTTTTATTTTGATCATCATCATCATCACTATCAATTTCAAAACTATCTTTTTTATTCTTATTTTGGTTTGAATTTGAATTTAAATCATCTTCATTAAAACTTTGACTTAATTCATTTTCTAAATCACTTGAACTTAATCTATTATCTAATTCAAATTCAGAATCAGATTCGGTATCTTCTGGATTTATTATATCAAATTCATATTGTTCTCTTCTTCTTGAAATTTTTGATGCAAATTTTTTAAAATAAACCATTATAATTATAAATCCAATCACTATTAAAACTAAGAAATATTCTGCATAATGAGATTGTGATTGTTTATATTTACCTTCTGAATCATTTGATTTTGATTCTGTTGGTGTTGGTTTTGGAATTTCTATTGAATGGGAATATGAAGTTGATGATGGTTGAATACTATCAGAAGATTTAGAGCTTGAAATGGAAGAAGAAGAAGAAGAAATGACAATTGATGATGATGTTTGTTGTTGGACTTGAGAAGATGATGAAGGAAGTGAAGAAGATGAAGTTTCATCCACTTCATCTCTTTTTTGACCAAAAAATGTTAATTTAAAATTTTTTAAAAAAACTTTATTTTCTTGACCATGATTTCTAACTTTAACTTTCCAATTACCTTGAAAATTTTCATCACCCCAATGAGCAACAGACATAAAATTCCAATTTTGGAAACCTTCATTAGATTGATCTAATCTTCTATAAACACCAAGATTTGAAACAACATTACTTGGAGAAATTAAATCCACTGAAACTTGACCTCTTATTGAAGTATCCATATTTAAAGTTAATATAACATGTTCTAAATTTTTAAAATTTGATAAATCTTGTTTTTCAATATGGAAATCATGATCAGCAATTTTATTAAATTCAACTGGTTTATTAGCTTCATAAACTTGTGTAGTTTTATTAACTTGTTCATTAACATTAGTCCAATTTTTAGCTAATTCAACAACTTTAAAAGCATCAAGACTACCATAACCATATTTATGACTATATTTACTTAAAGCAGCATCTTGCCAATCACCATCATTTTCATTAATAATATTTGAACTATGAATTGTTAAATATTGAACATCTCTCCAAGTTAAATTTGGATTTGCCTCCAAAACTAATGTATAAACACCTGCAGCTAATGGAGCAGCAGCAGAAGTACCACCATGAGTATCTGAACAACGTTTTTCAATATCAGTAGTATGAATATGTTCACCAGAACCTGAACTATATGTGACAACTAAAACTGCAGAACATGCTTCAGCATAAGGAGGATGTAAACCTTTATGATCTATAGCACCCACTGTGATAGAATAAATTGAATTTGTATAACCATCATAATTACAATTATCACCATGTAATCCACCATTCCCACTTGCAAATACATATATGGCACCTTTACCCTTTCTACCTTCATGAACACCTCTTACTAAGGCATTTTTAACAAGTGTATTTGGAGCTTGCATTGCCTTACCGTCATCATGAGGTCCCCAAGAACATGAATAAATATCATTAACATCTAAACCATAAACTAAAGCAGCAGCTTCATCTTCATTTGTAATTTCTGCAGATAAGATTCTTATACCTGAAACTTTTGAATTATAAGCAACACCAATCCCACAAACATCATTTTTAACAGCTGCTATTTCACCTGCACATCTTGTTCCATGATAATCATCATTTAATCTTGGTCTTGGTAATGGATCATTATTATTAAAATCCCATGACCCTTTAGCACAAAAATTATCTTTTAAATCTTTAGAATCAAGGTCTAATCCATCATCAACTATTGCTGCAACCACGCCATTACCTGTTATATTTTGATCCCAAACACCAGTGACATTAACATCATGACCTGGATAATTTGGATTAATTAAATGCCATTGTTTCTGGAATTCAGGATCATCAATCTTGTATTTTTCTTGTGCAGCAATTATTGGTTCAAGACTTGAATCTGTTGGTTTTTTAAATTCTTCATTTTTATCAGTAACTGGGATTCTATCTGATCCAGAAATTGGTACAGGAGCTCTTCTAATTAATTTTTTTAATGGTAATCTATGAATAGATTTTATACCATGATTTTCCACTAGAGATTTAAATTCTAATGCTTCTCTTTTTTGTAAATGAGGTTTAATTTCATCATCATTATTTAAATCAAAAACATCACCATGAGATTTATTTATTGAAAATACAAAATGATTTGGATTACCTCTTGCTTCATGTTCAAAAGACCAATTTGGGAAGTTTTCAGTAATGGTTTTCAATTCATCTTTTGATGATAATTCAATAGCAAAATAATTTTTTAAATCATGATTTTTTTTAGGTATGATTGATGATGATGAAATTATATTTATTATTGAAAAAATTGTTGTTAAAGTTAATATAAGCTTCATATTTATAGTTTTTGTTGTGTCTTGTATGGTTTTTTAAAAAAGAATGAATATTATAGCCATGAGAATGTAATATATGAAAATAAAAGCGGTTGAAATGTCTAGGGTATAATGTCTTTGCTTTAGTCCTTTATTTTGGTTTTTGGTTTTGGTTTTGTATATATTTCTTGATTGTTTATGAGTTTATTATTGATTCAACTCCACGAACACGTATCAAATATTGTATGCCTATTGAAAATTAAGTTAACTTTCTTTATAAAAACATAAACTTTCACCAAAAATAATCAAATATAATTCAAAATAAAATCTATATTCTTCCCAAATGAGGTTCAAACAAGAAATCACTAATCCAAAGTTTTGATGTATAGTTTAATAATAAGCTTATTTTTTGTTTTTCTTATGAGCTGTACCAAATAATTTATGTTTCAAAAAATTCCAATTGAAATCTTTAAAAAGTAAAAAAAGAAAGGACTTACATAATCCAGTACATAAGTTTTACATAATCAGTATAACCATTAGAAACAAAATATTTATTTAAAACAAATTATATACTTAAAATCAATTGAATTGAGATAATTCATAGTCAAAGAGTAGGTGTCTATTCCCTACCACACAAGGCTAAAGCACCCATAGGATCCCAAAGTGGCAAAACAATAGGATCCTTCTTTAACAAACTTTGTTGTTCCTGAGAAATTTCATCAAAATCAACAACAATTTGATAACAATATTGTTCAAAATAATCTTGAGTCATTATATAATATCCATCAATACCACTATCTTTCCCCCATGAATTTTCAACTCTATACCTGGTTGGTTCACCTTGGGAGTTTAATGAAACACCAGTTATTAACATTGCATGAGTCATTAAAGATTCATGATAAATAACTCTTGATTTTTTGGATTGATTCTTGTTGAATCCGATTAATTCATATTGGAATAGATCAATATCCATGATACCTTTTTTTTTATTCATGAATTTTGGGGTATGAGAACCGAAAAAAACTGGTTTATTTTGTTTAATTCTATTGATGATTAAGTTTGATAATGTCTTATTATCCAAGTTTAAATATTCAACATCACGAGTTGAACCTGAAACGTTATTCAAGTGATTAATTTTAATTTTTGTATTATAATCATGTCTTGGATCATTAATGATTGAAACTGGTTTGGAAAAATCAAATTTAATATAATCTTGTAAGAATTTTAATGGGGTTGTTGTTAATGATTGATATTTTTTATCCTTGTCATAATATTCCCATGTGAATTCGGTAGATGTTGAAGGTGGTGTACCAAGGAATATTGTTAAATATTTATAAATTTCTTTAATTTGATTGGATTTGATTTCTTGGATTTTTGATTCATTTTCACCCTTGTTTTTCAAATCTCTCAAGATTTCTGCAAATTCTCTTAATTTAGTTGTAATTAATTCATTTAATTTTCTTGAAGCAGTTGAAGAATAAACATCAGGATATTGATCTTGTGGAACAATACCATATTTTTCAATTAAATTTAAAAACATTGTAAATTGACCACCATCATTTGTTGGTGATGTTAAAAATTCTTGAATTAATCTTGAATTAACATCTTCCCCTGAGGTTTCAATAATCTTGTCTAAGAAATAATTTGATTTTTCTAATTTATCATAAAAGAATAAATAATTTTGTGATAATTGTAATTCTTTTAAATTTAAATTTTTGATACCTTGGATTCTAAGGATATTTAAAGCTGCAAATAACCAACATCTACCACTTGATTTTTGATTTGTTATTGGTGAACCTTCAACATCAATAACATGAGTGAAAACATTTGGAATCTTGTGTTGAGAATTAATTAATGCATCATCAACGTTAAATTGTTGTAAAGTTGAATAAGCTAATTTATATTGAGGATCATTATCTAATTGGGATTGCCATGATTGTAATTCATTAATTTGTAAAGACATTTTGGATGATGAATGGATTGAATGGATTGATTGTATAGTTGATAATTGAGATAATTGAGTGTATTTATACCTTTTGACTAACCGGGTTGAAATTGTTGATCGGTAAAGCATTTTGATTTTGATTATGGAGTGTTATTTGATCGGGTGAAATTTAAATGGAATGGAAATAAGTAAGCACTTTGTAATCAACAAATAAAAGAAATAGAAGATAGAAAACATAAACATCAACAACAAAACATCAAAACATCAACACCAAACAATAAGATGATAAACAGACAATAAACAACATTAATAGTCACATGATTGAATACTAATTAAATAGTCAACTTACACTTTAGTACACTCTATACACTATACTTTATACTATTACTATATACTAGTATACTAGCATACTATCACTATACTATAATACTACCACTCTAATCAATGTATTACTATTTACTTTACTTACATTCACTATTCACTTATCAAATACTTTTTCATTTTTCATTCTTTACCGCTGAATTCATAAAATCATAATTTTATTAACCGCTGATTGAAAACAAAATCAAAATCAAAAACATTTCCAACCAGTAACAATTCATTTAAATTTAATTACTATGATGGATTATGTAATGGGTTATGTAATGTGCTACATAAGAGAAAAAAGAAAAACACTATATAGTAAATTTATTTAATTATTAATACTCATCTCATACTTTTACTTTTATTATACTTCAACATCATAGATTAATATTCATACAAGATACACAAGATACACAGTGCATACCATGAGTGCTATATTATCAGATGCTGATCTAAATGATTTCATATCTCCAGGATTAGCATGTATAAAACCAGCTGGTGAAATACGTTCAAATAATAATACAACAAATAATGATTCTTATGAAATTCAGATTGGTTCAAATGGTGAAGCTTTAGAAGTCTCAATTGATGATGGTACTATAAAAGATTTACCAAGTGCTTCTATTTCATTACAAGATTGTCTTGCTTGTTCTGGTTGTATTACATCTGCTGAAGAAGTTCTATTGGCAAAGCAAACTCATACTTTATTATTAGATGAAATTAATCAATTCAAAAATGATAAAATATTTTGTCTAAGTATATCTCATCAATCAAGAATCTCTCTTAGTACTTATTTAAATATACCCATTGTTAAAATTGATGAATTATTAATAAATTTATTTTCGGAAAAATATGGATTTAAATTTATTGTTGGTACTGAATTTGGTAGAATTTTATCAATTACAAAGACAAATAATGAATTAATAAATAAAAAATTACAAAATAATCTTAATCAAGTTCAATTATCTTCAATTTGTCCTGGATTTGTTCTTTATGTTGAAAAAACAAAACCTGAATTATTACCATATTTATTTAATATTAAATCACCACAACAAATTACAGGATTTATCCTGAAAACCTTAATATCAAAACAAATGTCAATACAACCCGATAAAATTTATCATTTATCAATAATGCCATGTTTTGATAAAAAATTAGAAGCTGCAAGACCTGAAGAATCTGACCCATTGTATCAAAATCAAATTGATGTTGATTGTGTTATAACTCCAAAAGAATTAATTGAATTATTTAAATTAGAAAATATTAACTTGAGTGAATATATTACAAAAACTCCAGAACCTCCTTTAAGTCTTTATGAAAAAGCTGCACCAAAATTTTGGCCTTCTCCTGTGGAATCATGGAGTTCAAATTTAGGTTCTGTAAGTGGTGGATATTCAGAAAATTATATCCTTAGTTTACAAAATTATTATCAAACCCAAGGGATCCCTACAGAAATTAAAACAATTCAGGGGAAAAATTCTGATGTTTTAGAATTTCAATTAATTAATTCATCAACAGGTTCCAAATTAGGTTCAAGTGCTATTATAAATGGTTTTAGAAATATTCAAAATTTAGTACGAAAATTAAAACCTTCAAATAAAGTTAAAATTGGTGGGAAGGGAAATTCATTAACTGCAAGAAGAAAAGCTCGTTTACAACAAAAATCAAATCCTGAGGTGGCAGTTACTAAAGGGGAAGACATATCTGCAGACCCATCAACTTGTGATTATGTTGAAGTTATGGCATGTCCTGGTGGTTGTATAAATGGAGGTGGATTAAATACACCAATAGATGATGGATTGAATCAAACAAAGGAATTTTTAAATAAAATGATTTTTAAATATTTTAATGAATTGAATAAAATTAATGAATTGAGAGATGAAAAAGTTTTGGGGGGTTTTATGGATATTTTTAAAAAAGAGATTGGTGTTAATAATGAAAGATTTTGGAATTATAAATTGAATCATATTGAGAAGAGTAATGATATTTTGACAACTGGTAATAGTTGGTGAAATAATAATAAGAGAGGTATTAATCATTTGCATAGTTGTTATTTAGTATAATAACACATTATTTATTTTTAATATCAAATTGTAGATACATTATAGATTACAATACTACATTTTCTAATCCAAATAACAAACTAATATACATTTGAAAGAAGTAAAAAACTAAAACCAAATATTATAAAACCATAAATAAAATCCCATAACAATTCATTAAACAAAAGATAAAACTCCACAAAAAATTAAAACCCATTATAGATTTCTTATTCTTAAGCAGAAGTTGATGAAGAGTATTTGGTAACAGCTCTAGTACCTTCAGAAACAGCATGTTTAGCTAATTCACCTGGTAAGATTAATCTAACAGCAGTTTGAATTTCTCTTGCAGAAATTGTTGATTTTTTATTATAAGAAGCTAATTTTGATGCTTCACCTGCAATTCTTTCAAAAATATCATTAACAAATGAATTCATAATTGACATTGCTTTTTGTGAAATACCAGTATCTGGATGAGTTTGTTTTAAAACTTTGTAGATGTATGAAGCATAAGTTTCTTTTCTAGTTTTTGATCTCTTTTTTGGTGCATCTGTTGATGATGATGTCTTTTTAGCAGCTGGTTTTTTTTCAGCTGGAGCTTTTGAAGCAGGTTTCTTTTCAGCTTTTGGTGCCATTGTAATTGATTAAAATATTGATTTGAAATTAAGTTGATTTCAGAAAAATGTAAAGTTCAAAAAGTATTTGAATAAATGAGGAATTAAACTTGTTTAAATAATTGAAATAAATTGGCCACTGAGTTTAAATCACAATAAGTTTAAAAGGTTAATTTAAAATCAAAACATTGGAGTTAAAATCAAAGTGTTCTGAAGTTTACACAGTGGGTAATACATAGTTAACACATAGTTAACCATATTGAAAATATTCTTAACTAGTGTAATTATCAGCACCAGCACACTCCTTGGGAGTTTCCTAATTGGGAATCGCACAACCTGGCCATAGTTAACATTTTTTAAATTTCATTAATTTTTTGAAACGCTCGCGATTGAAATTAAAACAAAACAAACGTTCCAGAATTTACATCCACAAGTGTGAAAATCTGAGCACGATTGAAAACAACAAAAAACCAAAACATTGGGAACAAACGCTTTTCATTGGTTGATAACTCCTAAAATAACGCACTTTTGTTGTTTTTTTGATCACACAATTGCTAATTCGCCACCCATTTGGAATATCTTTACTTTGTTGGTTGTTTACATAAAAAAGATTTAAAAATATATGAAAACATGTTTTACTGTTGATTATTATATAAACTCTTGAATTCCCACTTTCAAACAACAACATCTTTTCTTAAAGACCTCATAGATTCAACTTCTTGTTAATCAATTACATATACAATACAAATCATATACAATGTCTGGTGGTAAAGGTGGTAAAGCCGGTGGTTCTGAAAAAGCTTCTCAATCAAGATCAGCTAAAGCTGGTTTAACTTTCCCAGTTGGTAGAGTTCATCGTTTATTAAGAAAAGGTAACTATGCTCAAAGAGTTGGTTCTGGTGCTCCAGTTTATTTAACTGCTGTTTTAGAATATTTAGCTGCTGAAATTTTAGAATTAGCTGGTAATGCTGCAAGAGATAATAAAAAAACAAGAATTATTCCAAGACATTTACAATTAGCAATTAGAAATGATGAAGAATTAAATAAATTATTAGGTCATGTTACAATTGCTCAAGGTGGTGTTTTACCAAATATTCATCAAAATTTATTACCAAAAAAATCAACCAAAGCTCCAAAAGCTTCTCAAGAATTATAAATTTAATTGTATATTTATTACAATAATTGTTATGATTTTTTAATTTTAATTTTAATGAATTTGGTTATGGTTTTTTACTTCATTCTTTAGTTGATTTGGTGTTTTATTTTGTTATATATAAACTTTAAATATTTTGTATATTAGGTTTAAATTTTAAGTTATTTTGGGTTAAAAAAGTATATTCAGAGATTTGTAGTTACATTGAAGTATTATTCGATGAGTATAATTGATTTAATGAGTTTACTATAGTAGTTTTACTATGGTACATCTAATACTTTAAAGGAAAAATCTAGTGTATAAAGTACATTGTATACACTGTGCACCATAATTGAATATCATACAGTGTCTATTATCCATCTCTTGTAAGCTATAACTTCTAGCTTCATCTGAATTCAATTTTATATATCAAGGCTTAAATGTTGAAATAAATCTATTATTTGATTCTATATGAAGTTGACACAAAAGATAAGAAATTCTTTATCTCCATATGATTATATAATCAATAGTTAAATGATTATCTAATGCTCTATACTTTGAAATTAATATAATCTGAAAAAATTATATGTAATACATGGAGTTTCTTATAATAATCCGCTTTAAATGACTTATGATATTCATGTTAATTTTTTAAAATCTTGTCTAAAGTACTTTGAATTTTTGAATTTTTTGAAATATCATGATTAATTTATTTTTAAAGTAAAATTAAAATTTTGGACATCAATCTATTTTTTGAATTAATAGATTTTATAAAATTGAAAAGCTAAACATGCTCAAAATTTCAAAGCAGTAGGTATATACAGAAAATGAGTAACAAAATGGTATATTACTTTACCAATAAACTTGTATATTGAATGTCTTATGACCATTTTAAAATCATTATGATTCATAAGCCGTTACATAATAATTACCACATTAGGCAACCGCCCGGCTTTCACTGGAAATATAAGGATATTAACGGATCAAAAGTCATACGTATAAACTTATAATTAATGAGTTTTGGTAGATTAATTAGTTGGTAATAGATAAACTACAAATTATTTTAGTAGAGTATATGTGTAGATTACATTTATGATATATACAATAATAAATTGTTCTTTTAGTAATGCTTTATATTATTCATTCAAGACCAAATAATGATTCTGGATCATTTTCAAATTCAGAATCAGAATCAGAATAAGAAGTTCTTTGTTGTTGTTGTTGAACTCTTGGTTGTGACGAGGGTATAGCTTGTGATGAAGGTCTTGCTTGTGATGAAGGTCTTGAATTGGATTGTGAACCAAATTGAAATCCTTGAATTGAATCAATCAAATTATTAACACCATTATCTAATTCTGATTCTTGTCTTGATTGATTTGATTGTTGTGATTGAGGTTGTGGTGTTGATACTCTTGATGGGGAGCTAAATTGAGGGATTGAATTAATTAAATTTTCAATTCCAGTTGGTATAGTATTATTATTGTTATTACTATTAGCTTGTGGTCTTGGGGATGGATTTGTTTGAGGTGTAGATGGTCTCGATGGTGAACGAGAACCAAATTGAAATCCAGGAATTGAATTGATAAGGTTTGCTACACTTGGTATAGCTGATGGATTGGCTTGAGATTGAGGTTGTGTTTGTGTTTGAGGTTGTTGTTGAGGTTGTGGACGAGGTTGAGATTGTGCTTGAGGTTGAGGTTGAGGCACTGATGATGAGCCAAATTGGAATCCTGGGATTGATCCAAACAAGTTTTCAAGACCTGTAGATGTTCCAGTTTGTGTTTGTGAACTTCTTTGTTGTGATCCATGATTTTGACTAGTAGTTTGACTAGTATTTTGTTGTTGCTGAGCTGGTCTTGAAGGTTGCTGTTGTTGGGTTGGTCTTGGAGGTTGAGATGTCGTTGATCTTTGTTGCGATTGTGTTTGTTCAGTTGGTGGTTGAAACCCAGGTGGTAGCATATCACTACGGATAAAATTACCTGGTGTAACTTCAACAAAATTACCACCCATACCATGATCTTGCATTCTTCTGTTCCAACCTTCAGCGAATTGTCTCGCAAAATCTATTCTTGCTTCTCTAGCTTCTTCAGCAGTAACATCAGGAATAGTTTCAGTTTCATTTTCATCTTCGGATTCATCTTCATCATTTCCTTCAGAGTCGGCTTCGCTGGCTTCATCATCATCATCATTATCTCTGTTACCATTAATATTGTTCATATCATACCATATAGAATGAATGAAAGGCATAACACTATGTCCTGGGCGATAACCTATATTTCTCATTTCTTGTTCACCATATCCATAAGCATCTGCTAATCCAACTCTAAATACCTCTTCTTCCTCATCTGATTCTGTGATTAAACCCCTACTAGCAAGTCTATTTATCTCTTGTACAGCACTTTCTGAATTTCTACCATTTGGATATAAACCATCTAGCTCATCATCATCATCATCATCAGAGTGATTGTGGTTATGATTGTCATTATTATTGTGGCTATGATTATTATTGTGGTTATTGTTTGTAGGGTTTGAATTATCCTCTTCATTATCATCTCTATCACCATTACTATTATTCATATTACTCCATATAGATTCAAGGAATGGCCTAACACTAGATCTTGGAAAATAACCTTGATCTCTTATTTCTTGTTCACCAAATCCGTAAGCATCTGCCACTTCAATTCTAAATGATTCTTCTTCAGCATCTGAATCTGTAATTAAACCCCTACTAGAAAGCCTATTTATTTCACGTATAGCACCTGCTGCATTTCTACCATTTGGATATAAACCATTTTCATCCCCTCTATCTTCATCATCATTAGAATGATTGTGATTATGATTATGATTATGATAATGATTGTTATTATGATTATGATTATGATTGTTGTTATGATTATGATTTCTAGCATCTGTATCATCATCATCTTCATCATCATTATCGCTATCACTACCACTGTTGTTAAAATTTTCCCATATAGCATCAACGAATGGAAGAATACTAGCTCTTGGGAAATAACCTTGTTCTCTCATTTCCTGTTCATCAAATCCATTATCATCAGCTACTTCCAATCTAAATATTTCTTCTTCAGCGTCTGACTCTGTAATAATACCAAGTTGAACAAGAAGTCTTATGTCCTGTGTAACAGTTTCTACATCTCTAACATTCCCATCTCCCCTATCGTGATCATCATCATCATCATCAGAGTGATTGTGGTCATGGTTGTGAACATGATGGTTAATGAAATGACGAATAGCATCTGCATCATCATCGTCATCATCATCATCATCATCATCAGAGTTACCAGCAAGTAAATTATGAAGATTATTGATGTTGAATGGATTAAATGGGTTTAGAGCATTGAGTGGATTCATAAGTGGGTTTAAGAAAAATTCATCATCATCATCATCCTCATCTTCTTCAGGTTCAGATTCACTTGTTTGTTCTGTATAATGGTTTTGAAATTCATCATTAAATGGATTATACTCATTTTCTTCAGCAGTATGCGAAATTGATCTTTGATTTTTAAATAAACGTGACGGAATAAATTTATTTGTTCTTGGATCATAACTTTTGTAAAAATAACCCATTGTTTTATCAGCAATAACGGAACTCACATCACGATTCCCATGCCTTCTAAATTTTCTATTCTTCTTAACCAAATAATAACGAGCACCACTTGCACTTCGTAACAACAAATTTGTTTCACGTGTATTTGTATCAAGACAATAACCAATGACAAGCGAATTAGTTCCTTGACCAAAGAATCCTCTATAACAAGGATCAAATACATAGTCACCTGGTTTGACATTTGGGAATTTGGCTTTAACATTATCTGGTGCATTATAAGTTAAGTTCAAATTCTTAAAATAATTGAAAGAATCTTTATAAGCAATTTTTTTATGTTTCATTAATGAAAAATTTTGGAAAATCTTTTTATTTTTAAAAATTGCTAAATCAAATGGATATTTCCTTGTAAAGAAATTCAATGATTGATATTTTGTATCAGAATCCAATGGAGTTGAAGCATTATGAGTAACAACATCATGGTATTTATTAACAGCAGTTAAAATTCTATCATCAAAATGTGTATGTGAAAAAGGGAAATTCATATATAATGGATTATTTGGTGGTTTTGAGAAAACAATTGATAATCTAAAATTTAACCAATGTAATAAAAATTCAATTGTGTTTTTGAAACCAACAGGTTTAACTACATCATTAGCACTTCTTTCAGTAACATTGAATAAGGATTGAAATTTACCAACAAGTTTTGTACCATTCCCACTAACAATTCTCATATCACGATAATTTGGACATTCATTATATGATAACCCATCAATCCAAACAAACATTGTTCTTTTTTCTTCTCTAACTTTTAAAAACCATCTAGGTAATTTATCACCTTGTAAACTATGATCAACAACAGTTACATTTATACCGAAATCCATAGCAATTTTCTCAACAATTGCAACTGTCATAATGGGTAAACCATCAGTTTCATTTGCATAAACTCTTGCAATTGATGAATTTTCTAAAAATCTAAATGAACCTCTTGGAATACTTTCATAATGACCATAAATAAGATTATGAACTTCTTGAAATATACGAACAACTTTATCAGTTGAAGTTGAATTAATAAATGTAGGACTGTGCTTTAATTCATCTTTCACCTCTGAGAAACGTCTTGTTCTTGCATAACTTATTTGATCATATGCAGGATCAATATAAGACCATCTATGAAGGATTTCTTCAAGATTGGGGAAAACACTTTTATATGGAACATCTTTTCTTAATCTTGATACTCTATCAATTAAATCATAAACTGTAGCACGACGAATTGATTTTAAAATCTCTGATGCGAAATAAATTAACGATATTTTATTTTCATTATGTGGATCTCTAATAATACTTCTTAATACTGGAGTCACAAGATATTCCTTTTCAGTGATACGCCAACATGAATCTAAAACATGTTTTGGATTTGCACTATCAACAATTTTTTTCAAACTTCTTATAACAGAATTATCAATATTTTTTCTCTTACAATAATATTTAGCAAAATTTCTTAATTTTGGTTTATTCTTATCATTTTTATGAAGTAACCAATTATCAACTCTTGAATCATAACCTTGTTGATCTACAAAATTCAACCAATTCTCAAATACTTCATCCTCCCATATTTTTAATGAATCAATTGTACGTTTTGTAGTTTTGTTCAATCGACGTAATTTTGCAATATCTTCAAGTTTTGAAAACCCAGCAATGATATTAACAACCTCTGGTGGGAGATCGTTAAAAGTGGCAGGCATGGTGAAAGCCAATTGTAATTGTAGACCTGTGGCTTTTAGAAGGTGTTTTACGTTTTGTTGACGTTTTCGTTGTTGAAAGGAATGGACCATGGTGATTTGATTTTTGGCCGAGCTCAGAAGGTGTCTAGAATCAATTCGCGCCATAATGATCACGGTTGCAACTACAACACTGGTGTTCTACAATTGTCGATTCAAGAAAGTCATTAGTTCATTATTCTTAAATTAGGAAACAAGTTCAATAAATGCTGTGTAGGTATAAATCTATCTTGTTCAAAATCAAAATGTGTAAACAAAACACCTATCCAAAGTTCTGTAGTTAAAATATGTAAATCTAATTTTGTTATATCTTGCATTTGTAAAAGAGTATCTTTATCACAAACCCTTGTTTCTCCATATTGATTAAAGATTGTGAAATATTCATTTTTATGACCTATAATAACACCTATTTGACCTGTTCTTGTATGATGAACAATCTGTCCAATTTTGAATTTTAATGGTGTTCTAATCTTTTCATAAGAATCTTCAGAATAAATATTTAAATGAGAAAATTTGTAAAAATTCTTAATTATTGATGTTTTCAGTTGTTGAGAAGAAAATTGTTCATTCAATAATCCATTTTGGAAATGAACACAATTGAATGGTAATTCTCTTGTAAGATTCTCAATAAATAACTGTTCTGCAATTTCACGATGTGTAATTGTGGAAGATAATAAATCACCTGAAAATTTAGGATTTGAAAGTATTGCATGTAATAAATGATTAAAAAATTGAATATGGCTTTTCCTTATTGAAGAATGTGAAATGTTATAAATTTCATCATAACTATTATTTTTAGCAATTTCACTTTCAAAAAGTCCAAAGTGGATTTCAGTACCGATAACTTCATTTAAGATATGTTTATTTGTTAATGGTATCAATAATTTTTCTAAGTCTGATTGTCTTAATCCTAAAGTCCTTATTATATGTCTATGACTGAACACTTTTGCCTTTTTAGGAGTCATCAGTATATATGCTTTTCCATCATGGAATGTATCATCTTTAACAATCATAAATGATTCAGTTAGTATACTTTCAACATCGAAATATTTAGCAATTTTTTGTACTATTGATTCAAAGACAATTTTAGATCCTAAAGCTTCACCAGCATATACTCGTAGAATAAAACTATCTTCAACATATTGTTGTTGATATGGAGTGAAAGGATGTGTATCTTTTTGAAAATTCAAACATTGAATCAAACAATTTCTAATGATTAAAATTCTCAAACTTGAAGGTGTTGATTCATCAAGTTTTGGATGTAGTTGAACAGCTTCAATTGTATTTTCAATGATTTTTTGTCTAAAAGGTAACAATCTATCAAAAGCAGGATCAATATAGCTTAACTTGAATAACAAATCTTCAGCATCACCATCAATTGGAGTTAAATATTTTGAACCGAGTTCTTGAAGTAATTTTATAACTTCACCATGTCTTATTGAGCATAAAATCATATGAGAATAATATTTTATGGATAAATTAGCACCAAATGATTTTAACTGAACAAGTTTTGGTATTGCCTTATATCGTAAATTTACTAAAGACCAACCAATTTCAAAAATTTCATTAGAGTTTGTGGAATGTACAATTTTTTCCATTGATTTTGAAATATCAACATCTATTTGATTTCTTTCAGTATAATATGCAAAATATTCTTTAGTATCTTTAATAATTTCTCGTGGTTGATCATCAATCTTAAACCAACGAGATGTTGCTAATGGTTTCCATATTGTATTTAACGAGAAGATGTAATGGAAATGCTTGTTGACAATCCTCAAATTGATGAGATCCTGAGTATCTAACAATTCAGCAACTTCAAACCATGTATCCAACGGGATATCATAGAGCACAGAACTCATTTGACAATCGACATGAACCCAGCGCTGATGTTTTCACGGTTTCTGGCACAGTTTTGTAGTAATGTTTTTGCTGTTGTTGATGTTTTCTTTGTTAGTGGCACAAGATTAATATACCCGCGACTTTTGCTTCATAGGCAAAACCAAATCAAGATGGGAATTTTTCATAGCTATAGTAAATAACCAGGAGTTGGGAATAATCTCTTAACTACCAGAAGATGGGAATAATCTCTTAACTACCAGGAGTTGGGAATAATCTCTTAACTACCAGGAGTTGGGAATAATTCATAGCTATAGTAGTTAACACAAAGTCGAGCTCTTAACTACCAGGAGTTGGGGATAATCTCTTAAATACCAGAAGATGGGAATAATCTCTTAACTACCAGGGGTTGGGAATAATCTCTTAACTACCAGGAGTTGGGAATAATTCATAGCTATAGTAGTTAACACAAAGTCGAGCTCTTAACTACCAGGAGTTGGGGATAATCTCTTAACTACCAGAAGATGGGAATAACCTCTTAACTACCAGGAGTTGGTGATAATCTCTTAACTACCAGGAGTTGGGAATAATTCG